ACTCCTTGTCTCAACTGGTTCTTGCTCATGACTGTTTTGTCTTGAATCTTCCTGCTTTCTTTTTTTGGTCTTCTGCGGGCTAGAAGTCTTAACTTTGAAAGCATAACTCATTTTTACACAGTTGTTAAAGCCCATTGCAAAGTCTGCAGAGGTCATTACTATTTTACTTTAGCGTTCTGCCACATAATGTGTTAGATTGTTGTTAGCTTTTTTTTTGCCCTCTTGTATCTACGGACCTATGATTTGGGAGCCGTTTTTGGGCTCTTCATTAGCTTGCTTTGTGAGAGTTCTGGTCAGGGACTGAGACCGTGGCATGCCAAGTAAAACTAGAAAGTCAGTAGAACAGGTTTGATTCTGTTAATGTTTTATGAATTGATTTTATTAACATATCATGTTAAATGGTGACGGGAACAGCTTCAGATGAAGGGTAGGGCACCTGTTGCCTTATGGAGGGCACTCCTTTCAGCCGTCTTTGGCACCTGTACCCCACTGAAACTGGCATAGTATCATCTGAGTGGGCACCCTGTCAGACTAGCAGATGGGCTGGAGCAGAATCTTGCCAGAAAACAGTTTGTGCATCAAGTTTTAAATATTAGAGGCCTGGACTCCCATCTGAGAGTGCTGTAAGAGCAGACCATGCGTAGCTTTTCTGCCTGGGGTTAAAGGATGTGTCATACCTATTCCAGCTTAGAGTAATTAACTTTGAAAGTCAAACAGTGGCTTCTCCTTATTGTGGAATACAAAACTTTGGCTGTAGTGAATCAAGATTAAGGTTTTATAGAAAAGTGAATAAGAGATGTGGTGAATTTTCCTGCTTGTACTTAACATTCTTAACTTGAAGGTGTTTCCAGTTATATGCAAAACAGTTTAACAGTTGAGAACAGTTTTCTACCAAATCCAATTTGGTTAGATCCTGTGGAAGATGGTTTTGCAAGCGTAATGCAGTGGGCTATATACATGTAATTTGTATAATAAAACTCTCTTCTTCTAAGTACCCTTTATGAATGTAATCTAGAAAAAAAACTATTCATAAACACTGATGAGAAAAGAGTCTGTCCAGAAAATGATGATGCATCTTTAACAATATGAGCAAAGAAACAGGTCTTCCTTAGGCTGTGTTAAAAATGGACTGTAAACAGCCTTCAAGCACTGCATGTTTCAGGTCTTGGTAAATACTGGATATTGCGAAGGCCAGGTGGGAAAACAATGTGCTTTGTTCGCCTTTAAATATTTGTGTTACTAACCTTGGTATGCAAGAAATATTTGAAGATTTGTGTTAAATAGCAGATGCTAATTTTTTTATTAATTTGTATACATTTTGGTTTGAGTAACTATTTTGGCAACTTGGATTGTTTTTTATTGTTAGATGCTCTGAGCAGCAGCCCCCCCATTTGTTAGCCATTGAATTGAACAGTGTTTCGCTTAACTTAATACAGGATCAGAATTTTTCCAGCTTATTTTTTATAGGTAACCTGTAACTTTGAAGTGTGATATTTCTTGATGTTAGTTTTTATTTCATCAAAAACCTAAGCTGATAATATCACTCTTCAGGATTAGTTAACCAATGAAACAAAGGAAAAAAAATACTAGCAACCCAAGAACTTGTGAAAATAATTTTATTCATGTTTCCCAAACAAATATGTCCTCAAAATATCTAGCAGTGGCTAAGGCACCAGCTGCAGACAGGAGCAGGGATGTTTTTCCAAGCTGCCAAATCAATGCTGTTTTCTTTTCCACTGTGTAAACTTTGTCAACAAAACTGGTTATGTGAGAGCCATTGAAAATATTTCACCATATTCCAAATGTGACTGCCACAAATTAACTGCTAAAACTACAACAAGCACGTTTGGACTGGCAAATAGAATTGGCACGGGTTTTTTTGTCAGACTGCATGCAATTGTGCTGTGTGGTCGCAGGAAATTGCAGTTCATCCAGAAGCACCCTTTTGTTACCATGTCTTATTAACATTTAGAAAGCTACATTAATTAAGGTTGTGGCACTCGGCAACAAAACAGTTGAAATTCACGATTGAAGTGGATGATAAGACCATAACTGCTGTGCCTGAGTGAAACTAGGGAATTCTGGATGTGGATTAATTTGAGGTAAGTTATTTGCTGTGTTATGTAGGCACAACAGTTGGAAATTATGGCAAAGAATGTGAATTTTGCTGCACTGCTTAATTTCAGACTGCATTTTAAATTTGTATGCGTCTCACTGACGTGGTGGTAGTGACTACAGGATGAAGGAAGGGAAAGGAGGATAGAGCTGTGCCCTTTGCAAATGTTTTTTGAGACTCATCTTGGCATGGGATAGAAACAGCCACAGCCCCTTATGCAGCTTCACCTTGCACCAGTATTCCCAGTTAACAAGTATGCAGACAAGGGCTTTGAGTGCATACTTCAACACTCGCCCTCCTAGATGTAAGGAGATTGTGCATCTCTAGTTGATAACAAGTGTGAGAGTTCCCAGTTTATGTTGGTTTTATGCTATTTTGAGATATCCTTTGCAAAGATAATCTTGCCGTATAGCACTCTTGGTACTGTGTGTGTGTACTCACGTGCCATCAGAGACCTCCTGCCTATCAGCATTGATCTCCTGCAGGGTCTCTGCTTACTGTCCTGCAGTCTAGCATTTAACTGATTGTAATATTATAAATAGCCATGTGCTACCACACAGAACGAGGCTAGCACATGGCTAATTACAAGTATACAGTAATTAACTATGAGCTAAACTCACAGGAGAGTATGTGGTGGTGGTCTATGAGGTATGTAATCAGACTGTTTGTTAAACCTTGGGAGCCTTTCCAGTCTGTTAAGTAACTATACATAGTAATGAGACAATTTTTAAAAAACCATTTATGTTTATTTATGGATAAAAAATAGTCTGTCTTATTTCTAAGCTGTGGGCAAAGTATTGCTGCCTCATATATGAATGGTTAATTAGAATGATGTAACAGAAGGTGTGCATGCAACTTGTGCTGATCTGTATGTATGAAAATATCTAAGCATTATCTGTGTAAGAAGTTGAGTGTTATTCAATGTGAATGTTATGCCTTGTTTCATGTATGTGCAGTCAAAATAATACCATTTCTCCTGTTGTAGATTTGAATGTCATGTTCCTCATTTTGTGCAACATCTGTTCCTGTAGCTTGTTGAGCTTTGTCTGACTTTTCTTCCTTTTCACATTGTAATGATTGCTGGTTAGTTTTGGTTTTATTTTTCTTCAGGATGTTTTTTCAGTGTGACTCAAAAAAGCATCCATACTAGCATAGTGTAAGAACCGTGGGGGTTAGGCCCTTTTGCTGGCTACCTCCTGTTAATTGCTCTTCTTCATTACCCTGACAGCTGTTACTGTCTCTTCCAGATTACCATGAATGAGGCCTCTCTTTTTAAAATGTCAAGATGTCTACAGGGAAGACTCTTTCAAATACATTTAAATTTGATGCTCCTCTACCTATCAAACCTCTGTTAAGTAACTTACTATTAAAATACATTTTCTTAAACACAGATTCTTTTCTGATCTGTGTCAGTAGAGGAGCACGTCTAATTCTGTTTGGGTGATGTGGTGTTGTTGAATACAATGAAAACACATGGAATGCATTCCTTTAAACTGTCTTCAGCTATTAACACATAGTCTACATGTGTAGAGAAAGATAAAGACTTAAGCACCTGTGCCTTAATTCCCAGTTCAGTACAGTAATGTGGTAAGAACAAAGATTACCAAAATTTCCTTCATGGTTATATGACTGTTTTAAACTGTATTCTGAATTGGACTGCTACTCTTTTGAATCTATGGATAGTTCACACCTTTCACAGCTACCATTTTAGGATATGCTCATTTTGTCTTAATGTGGTGTTAACACAGCAGCATTCACGTGGGCAAGTGTCAAGAAGCAGGTAGTGGGACTCTGCAGGTGTTCAGGGTGTGTATGCTGCCAGATTCAACCCCGATGCTGAACAGAATTGAAGGGAGATGGCAGCTGAAAGAATCTGTTCATTATAAAAATATTTTTATGCCTGACCATCAAAAAATGTAAGGTTGGATGGCTGATTAGATCCAAGTTTACTTGATTTTTATTATGTGGATAAAAGTAGCCTATTTTTGTGTGTGCTGATGGTTGAAGTGTTTCACACCTGGACTGTTGCTGGCATTTGATCATTATAAGAAGTTTGAAGGGGACACTTATTTCCTAGGAACTGTCTTCTTTTTAGTTTTTTTCAGTGATGATTCTAAAAGATGATTTAGTCTCATTAAATTTTAATCCCAGTGTAGCTCCATGTAGCTTCAGTAGTATCAGAGAGAACTGATAGTTCTCGCAGGGTCAGAAGAAAATAGGATTGCATTGTCTGTGCTGAGGGGTTCTGTCTCCTGGGCTGTAATTGGCACATGTGGTCAATTATTGTTTTGAAACCTCTACTTGCACTAAGAGGCACAATCCCTCATCTCTTTAGGCAGGTGGTGGATGTGCTATCCCTAACTTAGGCCAATGTCTAAATAATGTCAGGATAGAAATCAAGGTTATAGGACCAAATTAATTTCCAAGAGAGGAAAGCAGGCAGTCCTCTCTAGAGGCATAATGTAGGTCATAACTTTAAGTGGTATCTTTGTCACGACAGTGGATTTTCAGCAACCAAATGCAGAGGTTATCCAATTGACTGGAATGACTTAAACATGGTCAGTTATAACGGAATACCTCATTGTGGTGCAAGCAATGGAGACATCCTGCTTTACTCTTTAATTAGCATTGAGGGAGAGGGTTCTGTAAATGTGGGTAAAAATTACTTCTGTACTTTATGATTGACATTTCTCTCTGTGTGTTTTGTTTTTGTTTGATTTTTCTTTGAACTTGGCAAAACTCTGACCTTTAAAAGCAGGAATTTGTACAAAATGTTGGGTATCTTTGTCGTGTATTTTTTGGTGATCTTATGCAATGTTAGCATGATCTTTGCAAAAGTATTTGTTGAATACAGCTTGATCCCTATCTTTTTCTTACTTTGCAGCTTCCCCTCAAACTCATGTTCCTGTAGAAGATGATGCAGTGCATGTAATTAAAGTGGTAACATGGAGATCTCATTTCTAAATTTTTAACTTGCTTGCAGTTCTTTCTCTTAATTATCTATCCTTATTTTCTGCACTGGCTCTGTATTGCATGCTTGTGTTGGTTTTGATTTTTTTTTTTTGTTCCCCCCTCCATTTTTTAATATCTTGATAGAATTTCCCTAACTGGGGATATATTTGGCATTTTCATAACTCACAGTATTTTCTTGACTGGTTCTTTCCTTTCCTTAATTACTGCCCCCAACAGTTCAGCAGGGAAAATCAGGCTATGAACTTAAACATGCCTGATTCACAATATTTCTGAAAATAGCTTCTTAAATAATTCCTGAAAGATTCTGTGTTGTTTATGAAAATGTCTTGCCAAACAACTCTTATTTTTTTAGCTACTTATTAAAATTACATTTTAGATGGTGTGATATATGAGAGGTGGGGAATAAAATGGATTTCATCCTTTTGCTTTTCTCATGCACTTTTCTTTAGAAACTGTTGTCTTTCTACTGCATTTTATGATGCTAAATTTGTGTATTTCTCGACAGGAATATCTTGAAAATGGCCCCTTATTTTCTGAACTGAAATTTTATCAGAGGGCTGCAAAACAAGAACATAGTAAGTAATATATGAGTTCTGATTCAGGTAGATTTAAGGACAAGTTCAGGATTAACTACTTCAGATAAGAACTGTTGATTTAGAGCTTGATAGCCAAATTGTTTCATAGACACTGAACTAATCCTAGTTGGTGCTATAGGTTTCTTTGCTTGGATGTCATCCTTGTCCTTTCTGATCAGAAAGGAGAAGTGTGCCAAATTTATTATGTACACTCTTCTGACTACACGTCGACAAACAGACTCCAGAGAGAGGCCAGCCTTAGAACAAAAGTGCTAAATGGACTAATTGGTAACTGTATTTCTACTAGTAACTATTTCCATGTGCAGAGCTAAGAGTGTGTGGAATCACCACAGGATTTAGTAGTAATCAAGGCACTTGATTCTGCAGATACTTAAGCATGGATGTGATTTATTCATGGGAACTGTCCTAAAGACTTTGGATGACTTAGATTACTGGTAGATGTAAGCACTTTAGACAGCTTGAAGCATTCTGCATTGAATAAATACAACTTCTAATAGAATTATTTCTTCAACTATTGATAACTGCTCATCTGCCAACTACACGAACAAAGTACCGCATTGCTGGAACAAAAAAATTATTCTTGTTTTGCAGAATGTAGAGAAGTTCAGAATAAAGTTATGGCCTGAATTATTTGCTACACAAACTGCCAAATCAGTCTTATTTGTTTCATTGTTTCATTCAAAGCCTTGGCTTAATAGCCAAAAAAACCCCACCAAAAATAATACAACCGGCACCGAGCCTGAAATTCTCTAGCTACTGTTAACCCAATGTTATCTTTTTATTATTATTGCAGTAAGAAAATGGATGAATCTCAAAAAAATAAGATGTTTAGGAATTCCTGTGTTTTGGGGATCAGGCTTGGCTGAGTACAAGGGAAAAAGGTAATAATAAGAATTCTAATTAAGCCTCAAATTGACTGAATATCCATTTTCAACAAAGTGGAGACAAGTCCTTTCAATCTGACACAAACTTGCAGCCTTGTCTTAAAGCATTCCCCCCTTTTATGTATTTCCTGGTAGCTATAGATTCATGGTCATGGAGAGACTGGGAGAAGACCTTCAAAAAATCTTTGAAGATTGTGGAAGTAGATTTAAGAAGGAGACTGTTCTGCAGCTTGGGGCACGAATGGTATGTACAGCGGGGAGAAATTGCTATGCCTCGAACTTGCTGAGTGCAACTACAAAATTTCTAGTATAATTCATTTGGGTAGCTCTTGAGTTTACAATTAGATGTATGTAAATGCTATGGTTTGGGGTTTTTTTCCAGAAAAGAATATTAAGTAGAAAGATCCTGCGGATTGGAAGTTGATGGGCTCAAAACAATTTTTTTTCTGATAGGTTAAATTGTAGACCATGTGCTTCAAAATGTTGGTCTAGACTGAGATGTGTAAGCCTATTCTCATATGTTTTAATATATGTTGGTTTTTTTCTCTCCAATCTCTGAAGGGTATTATATTAGACATCCATATTTGTCAAAGTTCACAATTGTATGCCTGAATGCAAAACTTTCAGTACGTTTGTTGAACACACAGGCCAGCATTTGGCTAGTCTGCAAATACCAGTTTTGTTTTCAGATATGTGTAGACTGGCACACACTAGCGGAAGATTATGTAGGCACTTCTTTGTACTATCATTTGTGTCGTGGAAGACTGCTATTGCCAAACAAAGGTGTGCAGCAAATGGAGTAGAGGCAATGGTCATAAGTTGCAGGAAGAGGAACTCTGAGTACAAAGAAAAAGTTTTTGCAGAAAACTCCGGAATGTGCTCCCCTGAGGCTGTGAAACATCCATCCTTGGGGACTTGTAGTACTTGACTATTCCATCTCTTGTATAACCTGACCTGACTTACATTAGTCCTGTTTAAAGCAATGGGTTTAGACTGGACATCTCCAAGGTTTCCTTTTAATAGTAAGAACAATGACAATTATTATTATTTAAGTGAAAGGCTTTTGTAGTCGCATAATTGACAAGCATATAACACTCTTTGTACTCTCCAAAAGCCAGGATTAGATTGTCCTTTGTATGAGTTTCCAAGGGCAAATCTGTCTTTTAATAACAACTAGAGGTATTGTACCTTAGGAGCTGAAGCAAGATGGTGATGTAGGGGGATGGTGATGTGAAACGCGGGTCAGATAATAACTGATAGAATCAAATATATTCCAACCAGTCAGAGCTAATTAAACGTGTTCTTTTCAAGACCTTGTTGTTCTCAACATTTACTCCAGTGTTTATACAGTCTTAGTTCCATTCTTGCTTTGTGACCTTAGAAGCTGGGACATGTAGGTAGTTACGCAGGGATACATCACGGCAAAGTACGGCTTGTTTATGATTTGCCATCAGCTATGTGCCTGGTGGGAAAAGATCCTGTGGCCAGAGTGGGCAGTCCTTCTGCTCTAACTCAAAACAGGTTTGTCAGCTCAGCCTGTATAGCCCTTGATTTCACTGTGTAAGGGAAATGTTTGGTGGTAGTGTTAGGGTCAGAGTGCAGATGATGCTGATTTATTTTTTTTTTCTCTGTTCTAAATCCTTCCCTAGTTGGACACTTTGGAATATATACATGAAAATGAATATGTCCATGGTGACATTAAAGCAGCAAATCTACTTTTGGGCTACACCAATCCACAAGAGGTAAGCATGTTTACTTATCTACACTGTTATTCTAATGTATTTATAATTTTTCATAGTTTTAAGCTATATATATTCAACATTAACAATTCCTGTATTAAAAGAAGTTTATGAATGAGCATTCACATCCTCTCATGACAACTCTGAGAGTAGCTCTGTGGAGCTTAAGGTCTGAGGATAGAAGAAAGAGAAAACTGTGCTTTGTTGCCTTTGTGCTCTGCTGACTGGGATACTAGTATGGATGGGTAAACTAATTCAGAGTGTAAGTTAGGGGACCTAATTGCAGTTCTAAATTATGCCAGTTTAAGTTTATTAGTAGAGTTTAAGAATGTGGCCCATTGTATTTTCTTTCTTGGGAACTTCTAGCTTTCTAATATTGTCATAAATTGTGTTTCCATGTCCCTAATGCTTTTGTGCTGTTTGTTGTAGTGGATATAACAGGTAAGTAGGATTAAGGTTTCTGCTCTCTAACACTCTAAAGCGTAAAGCTAGCCTTGAAACTGAAATGTTTTGGTGAAGTGTTTTGAAACAAATCTTTTGAAGGATGATGTCCTACTCATCCTCTTACGATGCCTTTTTTTTCTGTAGTTAATAAAATCTAAGCTTTTTCCTTGGAAAAAGATATCATTTGGGAAAAAAGGACTTCTCTAACTTCACTCGGATCTAATTAGCTGTAAGCATACTCCTCCTTTCCTTTCAATTTTTGTTTGCCTGCTGTTGTCATAAAGAAACAGATCTTGCAAAACAGCTCACTGCCATTGGAATTTGAACCATTGAACTTTATCTGCTTTTTTACAAGTTTCAAGTTAAGTGGTTGAGTCAAATTGAACTTTTCAGCTTTCAAAAACACATAGTTTGAGAACTATTATGGCTGTTTAATACAACCATGTTTCTAGTCAGTGGTAGCAGCCAGTATGTAATCTCAGTTTATGGTGTTTACCAGCCTGCTGAATCCAAAGGAGGAGGCTATTTAGAGGCAAAATGATCTGTTACCCAAACCCATTAACATAACTCAAATGACTTCTTTTGTCTTGACTATTGCGTATTTTTATGACAGCAAGATATGCTGTTGTTTTTCACATTGAAATCATGTTGGAAATGTCCATTTACAGTAATCATAAAATTTTAAGACATGTAGCTGGCTTTGATCAGCTGGTTTTGAATTAGCCAGATTGCGGGATAATTTTGTGATTTATTTCTCATGTTAGCTGCCTGAAGATTGTGCTATACTAGTATTTTGATTTTATGAGTAGTAAATTCATTGGCAGATAAAAAATAAGGTATTTGCAAGTTACTGGACAGACATTTTACGTGGAAATATAACTTAAGTTATATTTATTATATAGAACAATATTTTGAAACATACGTGCTCTGTGGCTTGTGGGACATGAAAAAAAGGCATAATCTCATCAAAAACCCCAACTAAAACTTTCAAATTGGCAAATCTACATATGCCACTAATTGAGTATCCTTCCCCTGGAATTGTTGACTCTGATGTTCTATCTGCTCCCAGACTTGAATACATATTCTTTACCTGAGTTAGGAGAAGTACTAGACAATAGAGAGGTAAAGTGATCAACATGATCTTAGAAAGAGGGAGAGAGAGCATCTAGTCAGTGGCAGACTCAAACCTAGGAGCACAAGCTGAGACCTGTAGCTCCAGTGTGAGTTGGCATAATAAAGACATTTGATTTAAGAATTTCTGTCGTGTGTTTATGCTAGTGCAGTCTAGGATTTGAAGAGATAATAAACTGGAAGTGTTCTCTAATGCTAGAAATTTGTTTTTAAAAGAAATGAGTAATTAATCTTTTATATATATGTATATACACTAAAATATATTTCCATATTCTGTTTGGGGAAGAGACATAAATCTCTCTTCAATAAAGCATGTGTACCTTTATATTCAGCTTGGTACTCATTTTAGTGGCTCTACCTGTCTACTCTTATATGTGTATTTGTCACTGACTTGCAGTTCCAAAAAAGATCATTTTTCTGTGTTACACTTTCTGCTTCTACCCTCTGTCTTCTGTAAATTAACCTGGTAAATTTAGACCACAGCCAATAAATATCACAGTATCATTTTTGAAAGAACATGTGAAATCCATACTGCTATCCCCTACTTTCTGTGGCAAGGCAGAGGAACAAATAAAGTAAAGGTCCTGTCACTCTGTGACCTCCAAATGATGTTTAGAAATGGTTAGAAGATCAGAATCAACTGACCTCAAAAGAGCAGCTTGCTGCAGATCTATTCAGTAGAAGGGAGTGAGGCCATTCGGTGAGTTACAGGTCAAAAGATCAATTCTCTAGTCAATATGTTTCTGAACATGGACCCAGCATAATGACCGACAGAACAGGAGTGATGTACTGAGGGAGAGAAAGCACACAGGCCATGAATCTCAGAGAGGCCTGAAAGAAAACTTGAAGTGATCAGACCTATAAATTACAGAACAAGTCAAGCACTGTCTCAGTATTGCAGTGAGTTAAAGATAATTTGGTGCGTAGTAGTAACTGTTTGTCTGATAAAGCAGAATAAGCTCTATTGATACAGACTATAGAAGACCAATTGAATTCCATTAAACTCATTTAAATTGTGATACTATTAAAAGGGACAAGTGGTCACAGGATAAGAGCTTCAAATTGGAGTATTTTAATAAATGAAACGGGATTTGAAAGAATGCCTCTTTGCAACAATTGCCTCATAGTATTTTCTTTTTTTTTTTTCTTCAAAATGTTAACTTTAAGACCAGCTTTCAGTGGCCCAGCATAGAAGGTACAGAGCTCACACATTGATTACATAGGAAAAACAGGCATGAAAACAATTTTTCATTGCGAAATGAGTCATTGTGATTTGTACTCCTTAGTCCAGTATGACAGACTTGCTAAAGAGCAGATTATTTGAGAAAAATTAAAGTCTTTTCTGTTTTCTTTCATGTGTTTTTTTAGAAAGGATACAGCATGCAGGAACACCAAACAGAAACAGTTGAGGTTTAACTCATGGATCCTGGTGATTCCTTGAATCTGAGATGTAGCTTCATGATCTGATGGCCTTAATTTTCTTTCCATCGATCTTCCTGCTACATTTGTATGGAACTATTTACACTGGCTTAACTTTTCTTGTGGTAATGGCCCAAGTATCTTGGAGTTCATTTGATTCCAGCATCAGGACTTGCTACTAATAAGTCAGAGGAGATTTCTTCCCCTCTCTCCTTTGTTTAACTTCCTTCCTTCCTTGGCTTCTGGTTTGTGAAAGGTGCTATTTCTGTGCCAGTCACTATACTTAAGACTTCCTGTTCTGAAATGGGCTTTAGGCTACCTTTAGCCTTTTTGTAGTGTAGTGTCCAACTGAAGCTGACAGCACTATGGCCATTAGCAACCAATCTGCCTCTTATTAGTAGGTATCTACTTAATTATTTACAGCGCATTACATAAGCCTGGTAATGGAACCACTGGAAAGAAAGTGTGCAAAAAATTCACTGTATTGTTATCCTTTCAGTGATAAATCTCCTGCATGTACTGCAAGATAAAGAGAATACCATGAGAATCCAAAGTGCCAGGCTTATGACTTTCCAGATCAGGGCAGTTTGATATTGTAAAAAGCTATATATTCCAATGTGTACAAGTTGTAAGAATTTTATATATTTAGTAGGTATTCAGCACTTCAAACTTAAAGCACTGAGGAGTCATGCACGGAAAGGACGAGGGGACTGCTGAATCTACAGCTGGTTGCTTGTGCATGTAAATAGGTTTTTGTGCCTGTGTGGCTGCTGGCTTGAATATGATGTTTACGTGAAATTAAGCATGAAGACTTAAGAAATCTGATTCCTAATCTATAACAAAATCTAATAACAATGTGCTAAGCACTGCTGAGACTAGTGCAGATTGGCATGCGTAAGAAAAAAAACCAGCAAAAACTTGAACAAATAAAAGAGTTAAAATAAGTGAGTATGTGGGAAGGAGTGTTCAAGATAATAGCTAAACCCAGCCATTCTAGGCTTAAGTCACTGGTGCTGTCATCATTCATGTTACCATTTTTTGTTTCAAGTGTCTTGTTTATCTTTTTCTGTATGTTTTCTTCTCTTTTTGTTCTTACTTTATTTTGTTGTTCCTAAAAAAAGCATGCAGATGAAAAATATTTGTTATCGAAATGCATACTAACACTGACTTTTTCTCAATATTCTTTAGTAGTCTCTTCTTTCCTCCCCTACCTACACCATTAAAAAACCTGCAACAACCTACAAATTCGTTAACTACTCCTACCCACCATGTTCTGAGCAAATTTGAAGGGCATGCAGTGTTACAGTATCAAAAAGTGACAACTAGCTATAAAGAACTATATATCTTTTTAATGATGAAAGGGTTATAACGAGAATTGATGAAATGAAATTAATGGTAATTTAAAATAATGTAGTCATCCCATCCTAATAATGGTTGTGGCAAGGTTGTAACAGTGCCTTGCTGGTTTTGTACAAGCTGAAAGGGATTGATTTTTGTTGGTGGCCAATAAACTTTGCCTTGAGAGGCTACTATCGGTTACATATTTGTGTGAAATGTAAGAAAGTTGTGGAGGTGGTGAATGACTTGGCCACAAGTAAACTGAACAGTGACACTCATAGAATCATAGGATGACCTAGGCTGGAAGAGACCTTAGAGATGGATTAAATAATCCAGCCTCCCTGTCATGGGCAGGGACGCCTCTCAACTAAATCAGGCAACACATGGGGTCTGAACGGGGGTTGAACCCGCAACCTTGGTGTCATCAGCACCACGCTCTAACCAACTGAACTAACCGGCCTCTGGCCAAATTCTGGAGCACACTGTGGTGCAGTCATGTATGTTACCACAATTGCATGTGAGTGACTTTCAGGAGAGATTGCATTTTAGTTTCCAGGTCTTGCCACCATCGGTCAAGGCAGGATAACCTAAAGCTCACTCTTAGAGTTTTTCAGTATTAAATTAAAACTGCTTGCTGATACTATTACTGAAGGCATTTTATGCAAATCTGTCGCTTAAAAATGGGTTAAGAGTACAAAGTTACTGTGATTTATCTGTAGGATAATTGGTAACTTTTTTTATATAGTTCAAGTTTGACTGTCAAATATTTGTGACTATTTTCTAGGTGCCCTGTTGTTAAAATAGTTTGAAAGACCACCAAGACTGGGCTGCTGTATAGGAATGTCTATCACATAAATTAGTGTTCCCTGCCCGGACACAACCGGAGACCCGACAGATGTGTTTCTCATATTGTTTTTTTCTAACAGTCAAAATCTCATTTTAATATTAGGCATAGCCTTAATTTTTAAAGATTGAAATCTGCTCTGTATTTCATCTTATTGGATCTGGTCAACTGTACATGTTGCAAATTTATAGCATTATCTTAGCCTGGGAAGAATTCGTGTTCTAGCATACTCCCTCCTTCCCAGCTCATGGAGGATGCAGAAGGCTCATAAAACTTGGTGTTAGGGTATTTTAAATTAGTTCTCTCACACTGACTGTTGGCTCAATTAGGACAGATACCAAGGCATCAGGAATATGCTGGAGAACGGATGCACAAGAAAATCTAATTGGTCAACCCAATGAAGTTTACGCCTTGTCCTAGATTTTCTAAACGTGCCTACGGTCTTTAATCTTGTATCACAGTTTGTATAGTCTGTCAGGTGGAAAACATCATCGGTGATCTTAAAAGCCATCACCCTGCAGGAAGAGAGTGCCGCGTCCCAGCTTACACGCTCCAGATAAGCACAGATCCTGTAGCAGAAGCAGTAAAACCAAGAGACCAGCCATCCCAGGATTTGAAGCTGCCTGGGGCACAAACAGGAATCAGTAGTTCAACATAATGTACTACAAAACAATGTGTTACGTTTTCTTGAGGGTTTTTTTGTTTGGTTTTGCTCTACCAGGAGTGACATAATTAAACTACAAGTGAGTGCCAAAAGAGTTTATTTTAGACTTTTGTAGGACAAGCTACTTTTTAGGAAAGTGAAAGCAGAAGTAAGGTTTGAGTAAGAAGAACTTTTTCTTTATAACGTAATATGGTTTGGTAGAAATGATCTTTATATGCCTTCAGATGGTTTAGCTTTTGCCCTAGAGATCAGTTTCCTTGGCAATATAATAGTACCTTCCATAGATATTTCTAAAAAAGCAATTACCTAATGTGAGAACTGGTCAGTGTAAGGGGCAAAGGTCAGGTGGGAGTGTGAAAGTGCCAGTGTGCAAAAACAACCTATGGGATATTGTGGGGTGGACACACTGTTACTAAATTCCAGCTGCTTTCAACAAGTTACTGCTTGTCAGCTGTGCTGCAGTATTTGATCATGTTGCATGGATTAAGTCTGCTTCTGATGGAAGGTAGAACATGTTTATTTGAACTTCATGGAGTGGACTTGTGCTCTTAATCTGAATTAATGTGAGTGCACTATGCCAGTAGAGAAATAGAGGCATAGGAGCCAGATGGTGTGTTTGGGTTTGTCTTGACAGGCAGCAGCAGAACAAAAAATAAAATTCAGCTCTCCTGAGCTCATCTGTTTTCAGCTTCAAATACTGGAAAATTGAGCAAGACTAGGTTTAAAGTCACCTAATACTTTCACAGTTAAGTCCCAGGAATATCCAAGTGCATCGCCCAGCTGTGTCATTCAGAACTCTGGAGCTTCCTCTCCCTGGTTATTTAGGTAGCTATATAGAAGCATTCTGGGTAAAAATTAAATCACCTATGTGGGATTGGAAAGGTAAATGTGGCAGAACGCATGAGCTTGCTGCAATATACACAATGGGGGCCAAACTTTTTTTCTCTTGCACTGATTTAGCTCCATAGATTTGCTTCAGAGTAACTTAGAATGAAGTCTGGCTCTGAGCCTTTTAAAATTTATTATAAATTCAGGAGTAGTTTACTAAGATTGCTTTCTGGGTTGGGAGAGGGCTGGTGTGTTTTACTGTGTTTTATCTTACATGTTATGTTTAAAGAGTTGTTGACAGTACAAGTTTACTGACAGTGACATTCAGAAAGAAGAGACTACAGTTAGGCTAATGCCCAGCAGCCCCATCGTCACAGTCTCTGTTAATGCTGGAGCCCTGTGTCCAGTTCACCTGGGAGAAGCTGCTGCTTCTCATTTCCTCTGGCTTTTAAGTTGCACTGCTATTATGAAATTGTACAGTCTCAGCCAATGGAAAATTTGAACCCGGGGTGTGTATGTGCCTGTTTAAGTAAGGAGGGGAAGGGGTCCCATAAGCGATGTGAGGATACATAAAAGGCATATTGCAGTTTTGATGTCTAGATGCCCACCTGGAGAGGAGAGAGCTTGGGAACAAAATATAAAGACTGAAATTCTGCTCGACTCTGAAATAAGGTAGTGTAGCAGAGGAAGGATTTAAATGGGGAGGGCAGCTGTTATAGCCCCCAGTTGTACATATTTTATCCTGAGGCACCATTTGGTTTAATAAAATTTAGATCTAAGGCTGTCCTTAACCTATCAGTTTCTTAAGACTTAATTATAAAGGTTATACTTTCAAAGGACAAAAACATTATTCATTTGTCTGTTCATGTCTTCCAGGTTTATCTTGCAGATTATGGACTTTCCTACAGATATTGTCCCAATGGGAACCACAAACAGTATCAGGAAAATCCTAGGAAGGGCCATAATGGGACAATAGAGTTTACCAGCATAGATGCCCACAAGGGAGTAGGTAGGTTTCTTTCTTTTTTTTTATTTCAGAAGAGTGATTACAGAATGAGTAATCAGGCTGTGTGAGCTGATGTATACAATAGAAGTAGTCTTGGGAATTGCTCAGGGTTGATCAGACCCTTGTGTGGTGACCTCTTCTTGTACCTGGAAGCGCTTCTCCAGGGCTGGGGAGTGGGGAGGGAAGGGAAGCAGCATGATTAAAACCAAAAGGCTGCTGCACGTATGGTACTGGAAGGCAGACCAAGATGCCCCAAGAAAAGCTTGCCATTAAACTTAATCAGTTCATGTTGGGAGTCCTGGTTTGTGTTTGCTATGCTCTGTAGAGGCAGAGGCAATATTTGCTAATGTTGCATTGTCAAGGAAAAATGTTTAGTCTGCACTGTCCTTTAGGGAGGGCTGTGTCTGAGTGTCACCATCTGTGTTATGTGAGGATATTTCAAGATGACATTCCTAAGAAAAACCTCTTTTGAAGTCATAAAGTGTTAACTTTTTGAAATCTTTTTCCAGTAGCCTTTCATATATCTTACTTATTTAAACTCACTTTGATGGTATTGGAAACACATTTGCAGGTAAATTACATACATAGTCCTTTTATTGGATATTGATTGTACTGCCTTGCATTCCAAGGCAGACTTAATTCAACAATTCCCTAATTAGTTAAAGTCATAACCTATGTCTTGTATTCATTTACCATTAATTAAACCTTAGCTGTTTATTACACTGCAGTCCAAATCCAATAGCAGACCCATAGAGCCATGGAAAAGGGAATGGGAGGTCAATATCGAAAATATATGGTGCGAAGTCCCACTGATGGCTGCATTGTTCACAATCAATATGGTCAATGCAACACAACTTTCTTAGTTGCTATGTCAGCAAGACAAAAAGTCAATTCTAATGTTATGCTAGTAAAAAAATGGCGATTATTGAAAAACTTTGACTCTTTCTACGAAATGGTATTTTTCTTAAGTTTTCTTTCCCCTATTCCCCCTTCTCACCCCCAAGATCTTCTAAAACAAAAGGAATGGTTTTTATGCTGCCAGCTTTGCTAAGTTCGTAGTGTCAGAAGCCATAACTGTAGAAATTTGTGCTTGTTAATAGCTGCTGAACTGTTACCTTAAACTAATACTTTCTAACGAGTTTTAGTTGGCACAAACAACTGTATATTATTGCTTTTTCTATTAAAAGGACCATTGACCATGTAATGTAGAGGGTCTTGATAATTTGCCGGCGCTGTTAAAACCTGCAATCGTTTAACTCCGGTCATTAGGAAAAATGAAATAAGACTGTCAAGTATTTGCTGCTAAGACCGCTGCACAATTCCACCTGCTAAAAAATACTCTGTGGTGAAGAGGCATCTGTTTCAGACTCTTCTAGCTCTCTCAAGCATACAGTGCATTTTCTGCAGATCTGACTGGCTGCTTTTCCTGGAAGTGAGCATGATGTGGCTGTGTGCTTGTTTTTGGTGTGGCTGCTGTTTGAAGAATAGATGGAAGCTGGAGTATGTGGGAGTTGGCAGTTGGATCGCTATAGCAGCTAGTTTGTCTCGTGGACAGGTGTCTGTGTGATTACAGGACAGGTAACTTCATTTGAAAGAGTAGGGAAATTTTAAGGATTTAGGTGACAAAAAGTGTGCACGTGCCAGTGTGAGTTGTCTTTTGCGATCTGTGGGTTAGATTACCTCCTCAAGTAGCTAAAGCTATGATGGAATTGGTGAAAAGCAGAGACTCTGGGAAACAAAATTTTGGAAAGATAGCTTGTGGGAGCTTAACCCAGGCTTCCGCTTTTTGCTTGTTAATAGCTGCAAAAAGAAAATTCGCAGATGTTTTCTTTTTTTCTGATAGTCCTGCTGGAAAAACAGTGTGTACTATCTGGTATGCTGCAGAGAATCCAAACTATTCATGTAGAATGCTTCAGCTCTGACCATTTAACAGCCTGAACCCATTAAGGTCAAGTTACAAGTTTCCCATTTGCAGCAGGTTTCACAACATCCTGGGCAAAATACGCATCTGCAGCAACTTCTGTTGGAGACTGCACAGGCAGGACACAGCCATTGGCTTCCCTCATCTCATCCCGTGTTGTGAGATGTAGAGTTGCGGAGGTGTTTCAGGATACTAAAAGTCTTTCAAGAGTTGAGGCAAAGGTCTGCGCTGCTCAACAATCTTCTGTACTCCCAACTCGTGATCGGGTCTCGGCGCAGCGTCATGTACTGATTCTGGAAAGTGCTTGAAGGCTGTTTCAATGGTGGCAAGTTGGAGGTGTGTAGAAAGCCTGCATTCTAGTGTTACCTGATTTTTCAGAGTGGAGTACATTCTGATTTCAGTGCTCTTGGAAATACAGTTCTAAATTTTAAATGTTATTTTATATAAATGAGAACCTTTCCAGAGGGCATTTCCTGAATGTACATAGCAACATAAATATCTCAGACCTCAAAAACCTTGAATAGTACCAGCGGCTGTATTGAGCTAGACAAATGAGAACATTTTGACTTGCTCATAAAGCAGCTACCTGAATATATATAGCAATTTGAGGTACACGTTGCAACTTAAAACAAATTTATGAATTTTTTGCTTTCAAAAGTACCTCCTGGCAATGCTTGGAGCTGATAACATCCTTGCATAAAGCCAATCACATGCACCCATTTCCCACCAATTTAAATCAACACTGGTGTTTGCCTAGCTGAACTGAGAGTTTAACCCAGCTGCGTGTCTATTTATTCCCCAAAGCTCTCCGTGGAGTTCAGCAGATGTAGAGGTTATGCAGTCAACTGAGATCCAGAAAGTTTCCTACCAGTGGCCACTGTTCCATAATGCTTTTGGGTGGTAGAATTAGTCCATAGTCTTCTGACAGCTGCTGGTGAGGGCAGAGTCAGATGTGCTGTTCCTTTGGCAGCTGATGGCAAATTGCTGCTTTCAAACAAGTTACTTGGGTGCATGCAGGTGTGCACAGATGGTGCTGGTGGCTTTTACTTTGTGCTGGAACTGAAGAGGAATTCTCCCTGAGCTGGGAAGGGATGGGAGCACCTGCCCTTCCTCGTGTCTCAGCTCTTCATGCTGGTTTTGTCTTTTACGTTTTTTTAGATTTCAGACCTTTTTCTTTTGATGCAAATTTCATGTGGCACAACTGCATTGTTAGTTTTAGCATAGTATTTGAGTGCATTCGTTGTATTTGTTTTTAAAGACTGTATTGTGTAAACAGTATTACGTTTTTGTTTGTTGATTGATAATTAAAGAGAATTACATCTGCATGCAGTGTACATTTAAAAAATTGTTACATAGTTAGAGTTAGAAAGTAATATTTGGATCAATGCCTCCTATGGATTGTTGTAGATTTTCTACTCACTGAGGCATGCAGTCAATACCTAATTTCTCTGGAGATATACTGCGCTTAACGTATTGAGTTTTTTTTAAATACTCCAGTCCTGTACATTGAGTGCATAAGACCAGTTTTAATTTGCTATCATTGACAAACATAAGAGTATGAACTGTCTATTTTGAATTCCCTCCAGCTTATATTTGTGTTTGCCACAGATTTCTCCTCTTCCTTTTAACGATGTTTCTCAGTAGCTACGAGCAGTTTTGCCAATTCCTGCATTGGGTAGAGGGCCTACCAAAATCCTTGCAGGACTTCTGTCTGTATCTGGAATAGTAAAAGCTGCTTAAGGCAGTAGTGGTGACTTTTGACAAGCTTAATCATAAGTAGAATGTCTGATGACATTTGCCTCACTTTTTTGTGGCTGGTGAATACATTTTGTCTGAGCTGGTTTCTTTGAGCAGAAGTGTGTTTATTGTAATCTCCAGTGTTGGGGAAGGCAGCTGCAGTTCTGTTTGGTGCTATATTTCATATTTTAGCCAGTTTGTTGTGCCCCTCACGTTGGGTTTTTGCAACATCTGCTCCTTGAGGTCCACAGGAATGCTTGTACGCTGTGTTTGTTCAGAGCAGAGCAGACGTCGGACTGATTGTCAGGAAAGCTCCGTAGTTCTTGTTCTTATTTTCCTCGCTGATCTGACAGAATTGTTGCTATTTGGTATTAAAAACATAGCTCACTGCTGGTCCATTTTTCCTTTTCTTTTACATGCAGAGGTTGACTAGAATATATGCAGGGGTCATTTCGTGAGGAAGGGTGTGCAAGAACATAAACACCTATGCCTGGAAACATATTCTTTCTGAGCCCGCGTGGCTTCCAGAGAACAGAGCTCTAAATGGCTCTGGATCAAGAGGTTTATTTGGCATCTGTCCATGTATAGTTAGGATTCAGAGGGAGCCTGCTGGATTTTTTTGTTGCTCAAATGAATTATTGATTTGCTGCAGTTTGATATGTGTTTCCTAAAGACTGTGCAGGACAAAACTGTAAATCCTAAATATAAAAGGAAAATATAATTGGTCTAGCAAAAAATGGGTGGAACTTTGCAGTGTGAAATAAATAAAAAGATGCTTCATTTTCTGAGTGTTGGGTTAGAAACGTGCCCGGTAGAAGAGGGAGCAGGAGGTCATTGTAAGCAGGATAAGATCAAACAGGTTCCTATAAGCACCACTGTGGACTTATTCTGTCCTGCCAAGAATGTCCAGAAGCAGCAAAAGATGGTGAATATCGCACCTTTCTAGCACGACTGATAAGCGTGGCTGGGAATTGGCCGTTTAATTTTGGTGCTCATTCTCTACACGAAGAATTAAAAAAGTTAGTGAATCTCACAGCTGCTTGCCAGTCCCTTACCTTTGTAATTTGTTTTCTGCCACACAGATGGGAAAGAAGAGTAAAACTCCTTGTCCCCACTGTCCTGCCACACATTCTCCTTACTGCAACTTGGAAGCTTTTACTTCCGATCAGGTACCTGCACCTCTTGCCACCACCATTACATCTCCCACCCAGATCTCATGGTGAAATTTTCTTGCATCTTCCAACCCTCCCACTATACAAACTTTTCCCCACCAAGTCAAGACCCCAACGCTCTTACTTTCGGCACATCCCATTCCACCGGTCCTGATTTGTTCCCTCCTGCTGGTTGCACTCTTCTATTACAGATGCAGAAGAGCAAGTGTGAAAACGAAGAGGCTCAGCAGGTTAGATCCTGCTGGTCAGTGGGTACGTGTAACTGCTTGTGGGGAGGTTGCCGTGCACGTCAGGCTGTTGGGATTGTCCAGGACAGCTCTGCTATTTTGGAGAGGTCTGAGGATTGTGGTTTGGGAACTTCTGACCTGCAAGACCCACTGGCTCACAGTGCGCTCACGAGCTTGGCTGCAGCAGTGGCATTGCTGCTTTTGTGGGTCTTAAGTGAGTTACCCAGCTCCTGTGCTGGGGCTGCGTGCCGATGCGCAGGCTGGGCGCCAGCTTTGATGCAGCCTTTGAGAGGACGTGAGCCCTCAGGACTGCGAGGCAGGTATTGTCAGCACAGCACCTCTGTGCCTGCCTGACGTGCTGAGGAGCCACAGTTGTGTCCTTCCTCTGAACTACGGCGGCAACTCCGGCCACCAATGCACCGTGCTCATCAGCTGTTAGGAGTGGTGCAGTGTACAGCTATTGGAGCTGAGTTGGGAGAGAGACCACAGCTGGCGCAGGAAATATTGCTCATTGCCATATTCCAAACTGAGTTCTCTGGAAGAATTGTGGTCCGGTGGTGGGGACACACCATATTTTCACGGCGTGTTTTCTTCCCAGCGTTGTGTGATGGTGGCTTCTGTTGGTGAGCACTTCAGCAATGTGCCAAGCTAACAGTGCAGAACTGTACAGGAGGGGAAGAGAGATTGTTCCTGGCTCCTGCTGGTAGTTGCCTGGCCTGAGAGACTGAATATGTCTGTACAGCATGACCTCCAAGCATTAAAATTTATCATAAATTTAGCTAAATGTAACCTTTTCCCTATAGCACCCCCACCGTTCAGTGAGTTACTATCCTGCTGCAGTGAACTCCTCAGGCTGACCAGTACCATGGGGAAGCAGTATTCTATATTAGCTTTTTTTGGTCTTTTTCTTTTTCCAGTTCCAAATACAGGCACTGACTTTTGATGAGCCTTATTTATTTATCTTTTTTGTAATCTTCATAGAATCACAGAATGGCCTAGGCTGGAAGGGACTTTAAGAGATCATTTAATCCAACCTCCCTATCATGGGCAGGGACACCTCTCAACTAGATCAGGCAAGTTAAGGAGTTTTTAGTTCATTTATTTAAACATTATTATGATACATTTTTTACGTAATTATATTTCTCTGTGGTCATGTTAACACTCCTTTCCTTTATGGGCTGTGAGATTAATGGCTGTGGCATGAGTTAGACTTGTTTGTGAATTTACGTGAATTTGTATGCTGTAATACCAGTGAGGATTGGAGGTTCCACTGCATGTAGATGCAATATGAACAACCAAAATGATCCTTTTTATGAAAAGTTCCCAATCTAAAGAAATGCTGATGGTGAAATAATAATTTAACAGTGCTAATTAAAAATAATTGAAGGGGTTTTCATCTGTCACTCATTAGCCTCCTAGATCTTTACAAAAGGCTTGAGAAAGTTAGTTTAATAGGGATCATAGAGGAAAACTCCTGTTTTTATCTGGGTTTCAGAGGTGTTCTTGGGAGCAGTGTAGTTCTGAGACCATATTGTGGCTGGTGTGGTATCACTTATGATCTATTTTGAAATAGTAATCTGAATATAAATTACTGCTAAGATAGCTGCCAAATCCAGTGTACAGAGATATATAATATATTTTCTTCTCAGAGTGAATTGCTTAAGTTATGTTATTCTGAGTTTTTGTTGAACCCTGTGCCTGCGTATGGAGTATATGTTTGTGGTGTAGATAAAATGTTTTATGGCCTGACTCTGATTTCATTGATGTGGTTATTAATTCATTAACTTCAGTGGAGTTGTTCCTGCTTTATCTTGGCAGGAGTGAGGACAAAATCAGGCCTTAAATCTTCAAATTAAAAAAATTAAACTCTAAAAATATTGTGAACTAAAATTCCATGAACATGTTCCCATTAAATAGTGTTTTGTATGAGACTAAAATAATAATAATAAAAACACTTGGTTAATAGAGGAGCAGAAATCAAGTATCTTATTAAAAAAGAAAGGAGACAAAACCCCACGAGTTTTTAGTCTATGGAGAAGTAAGAGAATTTTGATTTAAATAAATACTCTTTTGAATGTATACCCTTGTAGCAGCGACAAGTTATCAAACGGAATTGTTTTATCTTTGCATGGCTATCACATTTAAATTGAAGCCAGATTGACTTCTCTTAGTTGATGTTGATCAAGAATTCTTGTAATCTCCAATTGTTTTAGCAGCTTTACATTGCAAGTAACAACATAGTTGAAATTTATGTATTAGTGCTTTATTTGGGGTGAAAATGTAATTGTTCTATTGTTCATAGAGAATATCAGTTCATTAAAGATTTAGTTGAGCACTTTTTTAATAAGGGTCTAAATGGTTTAAAGAGCTGGGGAAGTTAACGTTTCTAATACCAAGCTGACAAAGAGAGAAAGAATAAGCTTGTACAGTGAAATAATCAAACGCTGACATTTTCATGTGGTTCTATGAAAAACACATGTAAATGCCTTTATGTAGTAACACTTGCAGTGATACTGGAGTTTACCATCCCTCTGTAAAACATTTCGCCTTTGTTTTTTTAGTGAGGTATTGCTTAGTTCTATGTACTTTGGGGGGGGTTTAACCCTCTTTAAAAAACTTCTGTGGCTCTAGGCAGGTGTTAGTCAGGCCTGCTTGCATGCATCTCCCCTGTTTGTGGTGGCTTTGCCATAGTGTTAGGAAATGGCTGGAAGATCTGCATGTGGGTGAAAAGGTAATTAGTCGTGGCCAGGCTGTTAACTGTGAAGTGAACTTTATTCTCTGGGGACTGTTTTGTCAGAAAATGAGTTATCTTGAGTGGGCTTCTGAAATCTAATTGACTTTGAGTTATTTACAGATTCATATCAATTAGTCCCTCAGTGGGGGAAGGGAAGGGGGGGAATTCAATCCATTGTAATTTTGACAATTTTTCTCAGAAGGCCCCTGTGTGTAGCCCATCTTGCACAAACAGGTGCCAGAAAAGCATTGTGTGAAAATTGGAGGATCTGCAATGAAAAGTCCTGGCTTATCTGCTTATAATCTGGAATTGCCATAATGGAAAAAGGAGTTATGAACACATGTGTATGAATGGAATTGTTCCACAGTTAACAGGAGATTTATGGCTGAAGAAATCACTACAGAACAGCAAGTGGTAGAGATTGTGTTTTTGTTTTAATATGAGAGCCAAGTCTTGCATTAGGATGTTGCTGAATCTAGTGCAGAAAATAAACGACACCCAAGGGAGAGTGGAGCATTCAGTTAGATTGAAGGGCCTTTAATAATCCCATAGTCTAATAGCGGTTAAAATAGAGAATGTATAAGAACTAATCTTCTGCTTTTACAATAATGTGTGTACAGTAACAAGAAACAGTTATGATGTGTTGGCACTGTCGCTTTTAGCAGGTGTCTTTTTAAATGAAAAGGGAAGTTTGAGGAGTGACTTTCTGGAATTTATTTAATGAAGGCCCATAAAATACGATATCTGTTTACAGCTGGATTAGCAGCACTATGCTCAACTACTAGTCTTTGTGCTAGACCAAGAGTACCGAAGAAATCTGAAATCTTCTGTCCTTCCTGAGAAACGCAAATTCATCTTGGAAAAGAACAAATTTAACTTCTACATCTGTCTGGCTTTAATCACGATCAACAGTTACTGGTTTTGCAGATTCCACGTGGTCCAGACTTGTAAACTATAGGCTGCAAGTCAAATGTTTACAAAGAAATATCACAGTCATCCTGCTTGTTCAGTTTGGTTTCCTCTGAATAGCAACAAGCAATAGTGTTTCTGTTAGTGTCGTTCTTCTCCCTCTTTCTCTCAGAAAAGTCAGCCTATAGATTAACTGCAGTTATCTGGTTTTCTGCATATATGTTTGGGAATGGGGTAACTTTTTGCTGTGTTATATCTACTGTATTTGCATTCTGTAATTAGTGTATATATTTGGGGTGTGCAGTGTGTAAGTTGCTCCTGAAATAACTTCCTTTTTGGAAGCAGTACCAGTAAGTTTGCACAGGACTCGCTAAACAATGAGTGTATTTTAGTTTGTGCTCCAAATCTCTAAACAGTTCGTGGTACTGGTAAGGAGACAACCTTGGTGTGTAAATGTACACTAGATGGCAGTTTTGTCATATCTTCCAAGTTCAAATAACTCTGCAGGAGAACAGGAAAGGCCATCAGTGTTTAGTCTGCACTCACAGGGTCCCTGCATGACCAATGTGGACCCCATGGACTTCCTGGAACATGTGTTAGCAATTTAGCAGCAGACATTTATTTCTTTGTTTTACTGCTTGGCTCTTTGAGAAAGTGTTGGTACTCAGTTATGGGCTGTCTGGATCATGTCAGAGGCCATGGGGATCAAGTCCATGTGACAGGCCAGACTGAGGAAGGATGAAGTTGGAGGAGGTGAGGAAACTGACCCGTACTTCAGCAGTAACAAGTCACTGCCTGTCTGTGGACTGTGGCCAAATGCCGGGGCGTTTTAGGTCTAATACAGCTGAATAAACAAAATACTTTGCCCATTTGGCTTTTTCATATTTCATCAACACTAGTTCAATCAAAGTCTTTCCTATTTCCTAAGAAGAGGTTCTTATTCTTCATCGGTGTTTTTTCTTTTTTGTTTTCCCCACATTTTAGCCCCATCCAGACGAGGTGACCTTGAAATCCTTGGCTACTGCATGCTGCAATGGTTGTGTGGGAAGCTGCCCTGGGAACAGAACCTGAAGGACCCTGTAGCTGTCCAGACTGCTAAAACCAAGTAAAAATAAACCACCATACGCATGTAGACATGTACACATGCATACCACCCTAGAACCCTGCGACAGCCTTCTGGGGCTGAAAAAGACAGCTTCACATGCTACAGCATAGAGGCTTACAGGAAAGCTAAAACAGTTTTCCTTAACTGAGAGATGTCAGAAGCAGTTAAAAATGTGAACTCTGTGCATGTATGCCCTCTCCCACATGTTTATATATGTACCGCTGTGGAGAGATGGTAAATTCAAGTGCACACTACACAGTCATTCTGTCTGCTGTGTATTTTTTTAATATTCTTTTTGTAAAGAAAACATTTGTGAATTAGTGCAGGCCTTATTGCGCATACAGAAGGTTGTTGTGTGTTTCCATTAAACTTCATGGGTGCTTTGCAGAGACTGTGGTGCAAACATCTCTTGAAGTTTTTCCACATGTGCATTCAATTTATTTCACTTTCTGTACGATACTATTTTTCAGATGTTTCTATGTGTGTTTTTAATGTTATATAAGCCTACTGCCATTACAAACAATTAAATACCTAAATACTAAGCAACTTGATTAAAATCTTTCCTTTTCCCCAGCATGACTCATTTAGAGCTTACTAAAGCAACAGAGTGTATTAGTGTTTTCTTTCTTGGCTTTCACAGTTGGGACTTGATAGAGTTAATTGCATGTGGTATATAGTAGCCTGTGGAAGGCTCTACAGAAGAGTAGTTACCTGTAAATGTAACATCACAATTGGAGGAGGCAGCAAACTTTTAAGTAGGGCAAGTCACAACAGAGGTACACAATAGGGATAGCTGATCCACAGAAATCAATCTGCAAATTCAGTGTGGCATCGGCTCTCAGCAGAGAAAAAGGTTAGCCTGCAGACTGTGGATAATACAGATTGCATCTGTAAATGTTGACATCGTATGTTATGTTTAATATTTCTCCTTTAGAAGTTCCGATCATTACACAACCCCCTGCAAGGTAACACTTACACAATTCAATGTTAAATCAATTTAATCAATCAAGCTGCTTCACTAATTCTTTGCTTGCAATTAACTCTTAGATTGCCAAGCAAACGAATGCTTTGAGATGCACAGAAAATGGTACAGATTGCATTTATCAGAAATATCCTATTAGTCTAATGAATTATGTACTTGGTATTAATAACTCGTCCAGGTCATCCCCTTTTATTTATCATAATTTCAGTGCCTTTACCGTTTTCAAAGGCTAGAAAAAGACATCTGGATATATATCCAGTTGCTTGTAGTTAATAAGTAGACTCAGCAGCACAGCTGAATCCCTCCTAAGCGTGCCAGTCCTTTGCAGAGCCTGTGTGATGGTGAGGCAGGAGGGGCTGGGACTGGAAGTGGGGTGCAGGTGAAAGGCGGGGGCCAGGGCAGGACTCCTGACTGTTGTTCACCTGTTGTCTCATCCTCTCACCTCTTTGCTACAAGGTGTTCCTCCCAGTAATGCTGGGGCAATGAGGCAACTGTGCCAAGGTTTTGGGCGTTGGTAAGGGGCTGTTTAAGGACTGCTGGTGTATGTGAGCTTAGAAATGTTCGTGCTATGCAGTAACTGGAAGAGAGGCTCCGTGTGAATTGGATTTAAGCTAGGTAACAGGGAAATGTTTAAATGTTTCATTTAGCCAAAATTGAAACCCCTATTTCTGGTACTGGATAACAGGTTACTGAATTGAAGGTTATTAGCCTGTGTACCCCCACTTACATATATTTGAGAACACGTCCTGTTACTAATTGGTGGAGCATTATGGCTCCTTTAAACAAACAAACAAGAAAAAGGATCCTTAAGAGTATTAACAGCTAGACTGAACTAGGAGTTTTCACTGACTGAGGGCAGCTGCAGGTTCTTAGAGGTGCTGGGCCATCAGCCTAGTTTGTGCCTGCACAAAGATGAGGGCTGGTCTTACTTCATCCCTTTTTAGGGGTACGATTGATTCTGAGCTCCAGTGGCCTTCGCTATTTCTGTTTCTGGATAGAGAGTGAGTACATCTGTGGCCTGGCCCTTCAGTTCATGAAGTGCCTGGGACTTAAAGTCATTTAACCTGCCCTTTTGTCCCTGCTGTGCCTGCTTGTGATTTCGACAGCCATCACCCAGCTCCCCGTGAGCTACGTGGCAGAAAGAACCTGTTGCTAAATGACTAGTAGGCAGACCAGAACTACAGCTTAAGTTCCAAAATACAAAAATTAATCATTAAGTTGAAATCAAAACAAGCCATTTCAGCTCAAATGATTTTTTTTCATTTTTTCTAGAAAGGTTAAACCGTCAGCAAAGTAAAACTTAATGTTCGAGTGTTAAAGTCTTAGCTGTAAGCCTGATCTTGGTGAAATCATCAGTCTCCAAAGGGTTAAAAATAGAGCCAGTAAGAGGAGATTTTGTTTTAAAAGCAGTACTGTGAATTATTAGCAATCCCGGAGGTCCACTCCCTTTGGAATTAAGACTTGCTGTCTTCCTAAATCCCAAATGAAGAATCACCTGCTCCAAAACCACATTAAATTGTTGCACTCTCATGTTATTTCAGACTTATGGATGAGCTCCCAGACTCAGTGATGAGATGGGATTCTTCTGGAAGCAGCTGTCGTAAGTGTACTTGCACTGTGTACCATAGAGCTCTTTAGCTTGTTATAAAAAATACTCAAATGTCCTACTCTGTTGGGCGGAAACAGAAAATAAGTCAAAGGAACACAAATTTAACGGAAGTCTTCAGTGTACAGTCTGAAATGCAGTTGTTAATTTTGCACCTAAGGGCAGATGCCTTCACCAGACCTGACTCCATGCAGGACTACGGGGCTCTGGTCTCAGGGCAAACTAGTGCACAAGCAGAAATCATCCTGGAATCAACCCCTTGAAATCAAGCCTGTGTGAACTGCTTTTCTACACACCTAACAGCAGGATTCAGCCTGCAGTATCCATATTTAGCCAATAACACAGTGGTTAGGTCACACTCACAGTTAGATTATACATCACACTTATTAATTCAGGGTGCAATTTAACTGAACTTCAGTGGCTTCCACTGACTTCAGTGGAACTGGACCATGCTCTTCATGTACAAGCTTACTACATTCTAAGCATTTTTACTTCAAAGGCCTGTTTACTGCCAGGGAGGAGTTTTTGGATGCTGTCCAGTGCTGGTCACTCTGCAAAAAAAGATTCCTGATGCTTACTGATACGGGATACTCGGAATACTTAATGTTTTAATTACAGGAACTCTGCTGCTTTCCCGACTTATCCCACAAGCAAGTACTAAATAGACCAAATAGACATTGAGGGCTAAACTTCAAATCCCAGTGCATGGTAATATAAAAATCTTGATTAGTCTCATCTGTGGTGTATGCCATGGAGTGACATAAGGGAGCTTAGCTGTATGTAATCCAGGGTGTTTGGAAGCAGTCACTGTCTTAGAAACAGAAGTAGCTGTTAGTATGGCAATAGTAAGCAACTGTCTACAAAAGGTTTATTGCTTAGTATTCAGAGTTTGAAGTAGCCAGTGAATGGATGGTTTGTCTTGTCATATGTGCCTCCTTCACTGAAATACAAAAGTAACCCAGGGAAAACACCGCACTTCCTTCAGAGGTCAGTGTCTATTTTGGATTTCTTCACTTATTTTCATAGCAATTCTGTATTGGAATTACTGGAATGCATCATGTATTAGATAAAATATATTTGTGATGTGTATACATATCTAATAAACCTTTACTAATGAGATTTTACTAGATGCTACTAGTACTTCATGCTGGTGTAGTACTCCAGTTTTAGGATACACGAGTCTTCAGCTGAAAGAAAAGTTTGATCTCCCTCTATTGTTTTCCTAATAGCATCATTTCTGCCCATTTGGTGGTTTCCCTGTTTCTAGAACCACTTGGAAATGATCACAAAATAACGCTGCTGTTGGGCTGATTTAGGCTGTAATGTCAAAAACAATATTTGTCCACGTATTAGAAGTAAAAGAAAATTTTGCTTTTTTCTGAAGCATTGAAAGTATACTATCTATACAGATTAAAATAGTGTTGTTTAGAGTAGTTATTAATGGTGTATTGTGAGCTATCAAATATAAAATACTTACGTTACGTGGCACTATAAACGTCTGTCAATAAAGTACTCTGAATAATTTTTATACTTAGCTTTTGGTAATATATGAATTAATGCATATGCATAACAAGACATAGCACTTGAGGGCTAGCTTGTTTATCCAAGTCTATCTTTTCCTTTTCTCATCTCGGAAAGACAAGCTATTGTCAGTTCTGCTGAAATTGTGTCATCTTGTTTGGCAATGTGGGGTTGGCATCCATTTGGGGATTAAATTCTTTCTGAAGCTCTAGGCCTACACCGAGTGAAATTTACATTAAAATATGCTCCACAGGTGAAATATCCAAGTTTTTGGCATGTATTTATGGCTTAGCTTATGATGAGAAGCCAAAGTATCAAGTGCTGAAGCAAATCCTGCTGGATGGACTAGAGGCAAGTGGAACTCGCTACGATGGCCTGCTGGAATTTTCCGCTGCAGTGTGCCCACAGACTCACTGTGCTGCTAAAGCGTCAAAAGTAAGTTCTGCGATTATTTCTGCCATCTCCTGCTTGATTGTTGCCTTTTCTTTTGTGGGAGAGGAAATAGTTTAAGATCTCAAAATGAGACTGACACAGCAGTTCTTTTGCCTGAAATACACCATGTTTGTTAATTCCTGTTTCCCTTGGCTTTGCTAAAAAGTGGGATGTCAACCCTTAAGGAGGAAGAACTGTCATGAGTCCTTTTGACCTGCAGCCTCTCACTTCAAAGCAGGGGGTCTGTGGAGAATGATTTACTTTGAGGATAATGGGGAAGTCAAGGACTTTGTTCAGTAACATCTTGAAGACGAGCCTGAATGCCAGGTTCTTCCTTCATTCCAGATTAAAAGCAAAGTTACCTTTATTAGTGCGAGCATTTAATTCTTTTCTTGCTTTCAAACTGTTCTTTGTCATTTGCCTTCATACTCCTGCAGCCACTGATGTGGAGGAGGTATTATTCTGGGATTTGACTCTGTTATTGGTATGCAGTGCTACGTGATGCACTAACACAGAATTTTCAAACTGACAGCTATCATCTTGTATTTTCCTTCTGTGCTTTTGTCTGAAACTATACACTTAATAAAACCACATTTCAGTAAGTGGAGATGGAGGTAATTAGCAGTCGTGCTGGACTTGCTGCAAAATGTCAGTCCCGTCATACCTCTGCCTCAAAACTCCCCGTATGCAAAAGCCCCGGTTCTGTCCCCAGTGCGTGTGCAATAAGGCAGGGTCAGGGTACCATTCATTTTTAATACTTCTGGTGAACTTTGGACCATCACAAGTGTACGTGAGCCAAGAATGCAGGATGCAAACTAATGTGACTGATAGGCTGCTAGATGAATGGTGATTCAAGTATCAGTGCACAGATGGTTCTGATTTGCTGAGTTTTGTAGCTGCTGCAACTGAAGACATAAAATATCCTTCTAGTCATAAATTAGCTCTTTGGAAGCAAAACCTTGGCACCAGAGCTTTACAACCTTCAATTAGTAAAAAATGACTGTGGTATTGACATCTGTAGGCCTGCATAGTAATCATTCCTAATAGAAGAGAATATCTGTTTGAGGGGGTTTTGCATGGCTAATTAACCACCAGTGAGAATATGTAATTTTTTCATGATCTCCTGATTGTCACCTTTCTCTCATGATACAATTACATTTTATTGTAGCAAGTGCCTCACAAACCAATTGTCAGCACTATTTACGTATTATGGAAGGCAGAACAAAAGTTCATGTGTAATAAAAAGGCACTAGGTTTTGATCGGGGTAATTACAGATACTTACTTTAGCAATTTTATTGACTTTTCTGGGTTTATCCCTCTTTTTTTTTTTTCTTTTAACAAAACCAAAAACTAGTTCAGGGATAGTATTCCTCTTGCTATGATAGTGACCACTCTGGCCTCGCTAATTTGAGAAGCCTTTTTTGAAGTTTGTGCTGTTCTCCAAACTGAACTGAAATATTGGGTAGCTGTTAACCGATCTCCAGCTGATCCTTTTGGATCTCTGGTTCACAAGAACCTTCAATTTCTTAAGAGTCGAGTACTGAATAGTAAATCTGTTTTCTTCTTGCCTGGCCTAAGAGTTGACAGCATGCCAGTGTAAAAGATGATCCTGACCTTCCCGGCTGTACGAGCTGCTGTAGCACTTGCTGTTTGCAAGTGCACAACCCCACTGAAAAACCCACGAACGAGGAGTGTCAGTTATCGCCACTCTTGTGCTGTTGGACTAAGCAGAATTGGTTTTGATGGCCAAGAAAAATATCAGAGAGAGAGAGAGAGAGAGAATATGTCTGCATATTGCTAAATCGTGGCACCTGTCATCACTTCTTCAGAGAAATTTTCGATGTTGAATGTTGTGCTTCTTGGAGCACTGGGAATGCCAGCACTGCTCCTGTGATCACCTGGGTTTTACTTCATAGAATCGTAGAACACCAGGTTGGAAGGGACCCTGTTCTTTAGCCAGTTCTGCTGCTTCTCTGCGCAAGTTTCCTGTAACATTCACTGCAAAACAGCTGCGGAAAGGAAATTTTTAGGGTTATTTTGGAGGACTTAGGAGTATTTAAATACAAGGAGAGAGAGAGAGCCAATAACTGAACTTTCTCTAAATTTATTGCTATTTTCAGAAAAATACGATTTTTCAATCTGCGGTTATTGGCCGTGAAGGCTATTCAAGGCCTGGTGCGCTTTGGTGCCGCAGCCCTGACAGCGTGTTGGATGACAGGCAGGTACTTCCCACTGCATCTCTTCACGACGCTGTCTGTAGTTATCCTAGGTCTGACTCTTTTCATCTCCCCATTCCCTTTCCACCTCTCCTTTTATTCACCAAACACTTCTGCCATAAAAGAGGCAACCTAAGAATAGTGGGAGCCACTACAAACAATCTGCTCTCTCCTCACTTCTTGCTTATGAGCAGAATCCGACTCCAGATGACCTGTCTGATACCACCTGTACCAGCGTCGTACGCAGGACAGAGGTGATTTGAGGGCAATTCCCTTCTGAAGACCAGTAAGCACCAATAACAGAATCCTGTAACACCAGCTCCTTGAGGATGATGTGAAGAGGAATCGCTACATCAATATTAAGATGCAGCTCCCTGTCTAGCATGCGAATCTAATCTTGAGACGCCATAAAACGTGTAACGGTGGCTACATCCTGGTTCTTTGTTTCGATTGCACACCAGACATAGGTGATAAAATATTAATTGCATTAAGTCCTAAATTTGTTTACCACAGATTTTGGCACTGGATAAATATGTTCAGCTCTTTTGCTTGCAGGGAAAGTGCTGGCATTAGGGCCAAATGAGGCATGGTAAGGCCAGCTGACTACTTGCTGGATTTTGTACATTTCATATTAAAAAATAATTACCTCCATACCAACTTGTAATTTTTATTAGCATGTAGAGTATGGTAATTGTTAGGCGTAAAATAAATATTTTCCCAAGCGCTTTAAGTCCTGTTTTGAAAGTGCTATACTCACTTAAGGTGTGGATGCCTCGTGGAGGTACCAGAGGGAGCCGTCACCACGACGGGCAGTTCTTGTGCTGTGAAAAGAGCCTGGGCTGCTGCCTCTGCAACTCCAGTTCTCGGGGCTGCCCGTGGTCTCGTGCCCAGATGCAGACTACTTGAAACTAGCTCGATTTGTTGTTCAGAGCAGACACAACTTTATATTTCTAAGCGTTAATAATTTTCCTGGAGAACTATGAGTTGTAGTCTTAAAAGGTGTTTTGGATTAAACAATATATGAAGTGCCTAGTGGTACTTCCAACAGAATTCAGTTTGTGCAGGTTTTATCTCCTGAATGTATTTAATCTGAAATATAAAAAAGAAGCCTGTTACTTCTTTTTTAGCTGCTCTATTCCGATACAGCTGCTGCGTGGAAGCCCATACGCAAACACTACAGTTACAGAGTTATTAGTGTGCCAAAAGTACCAAAGGCATGTGGCATCCAGCCTGTGTTTTGGCTGCATTTGTCTTCCAAGTTACCAAGCCAAACCAGACATCATTTGATACTTAGTGCTTAGAGCAGCACTGGAAAAAACTTGCATTAACTCATGCAACTATTCACTGCTTATTCCCCATTTCCATTTTAGAAAACTGTAAAAGAATACAAGCCTTAATTTTTAAATCAGATTACCTGAGTCAGAAGACTTAGCGATTATCTTGCTTTGGAGAGTTTTGCATTTGACTCAGTCAGGTGATAAGAAACGCAGTCAGCTTCACTTGTTAACGAAACAAACGGTGACTTGCTGGCATCGTTCCCAATAAAGGTTATGAGTGAAGGTTTTGAAATATACAACTCCCATTTATTTTATAGCATACTTCCCAAATACAGCTTAGATCTAGCTTTGTACTGTCTGAAGATGACATTTATTGATAATTAAAATGCTGAAAACAATTCTTTTGAGAAAGATAAAAGCTTGCTCTCATTCTGTGTTCTTGGAACTGAAGATGGAACATTTTTCTTTTTGAAATACTGACTTTTTTTTCACTACATAAAATTGTTGACTGTACGTCAACAGGTTCGCTTACCAAAGCCTATGCTAAAACCAGTTCAGCAGAAGCAAAAAAAGATGGAAGGTGAAGAATACGTCTGTCAAAACAAAGCCTGTACTGAGGTAACAGACAAACAACTCAAAGAGGAAGAAAAGCCAAGTAAATTAAACAGGATGCTTCACCAAACAGAGCCTCAGCAGGTGAGGTTTTGGGCCCTGCAGTAACATGTGGCATCTGACAATTTGCCTGCTCTGTTAGCTCCATGTCCACCTTTTCGGGTGGGCAAGGAAAAAAAAAGGGCTTGAAACAAGCCAAGTGCTGTGTCACAAAACCTCTGGGAGTTGGCACGTGCCTCCTGGCTTGTATTGCTCCAAAGAGAAGACTCCAGAGTTTCTCATAAGCCCAGTAAGTGCAAACAGGGCATTACCCTCACGTGTCCCAAACCTGGCAGGTCCGTGTATCAGAATGGTACCTGTGATAATTTGGAATGTGGTAATTTGGAATTCTTTTCAGCACTCACAATTACTGTCTTTATGTCAGTGGGTTCACTTACCGAAGCCTTCATTGAAACCACTGGTGCAGAAGCAAAACAAGGTGAAAGAGGAAGAACCGAACTGCGTCAGCCGGCCCCGTACTCGGGTCACACGCCAGCAGTTCCAGGCAGAAGAGAAGCCAATTAACTCTTACACTACAGTTCAGGAGGGTGACCACCCACAAAAGGTGAGCGGTTTGGTGTTATCTTTTGATGTTGGAACAGTAGTGAAAGAAAGATCAGCTTTTCTAAAAATAAGAGTTTATAAAAAACCCACACCACCACAAACAAAGCCTAAACTAAATGTATGCAAACTCGATGTACAGAGTTGCTTGGCCACTGTGTTAGCAAACGAGCACTCCATTTTTTCTGTAGCTTGTAGTAAAGCCCTGCGTTTGTGTAGTGACGTATCAGTGGGCAGATCAAGGTGCTGGGAAATGACAGTCTCCCTTTGTGAACTCTGTTCTTTTCTTGGCAGACACTTAACTTCACTAGTTTCCTTTGCTATGTTGTGGAAAACTTCATGCCACTCTTTAATGAAGTTCTAAGATTCTACTTTTTAATCTGAGGATTTTAGTAGTTGACTAACTCACCTCAAATATTGCTGGTAATTTACCGCATAAAAGGATTGAATGAATGTATTCAGTCTTACTCTTCAACTGTAGATGAAAAAATTAATCAAGGCTTTAGTAAAAATAATGCAGAATAAAGCACATCTTAGTAATCACACTGTGCTCCTGTTCTATGGGGTATATTTTAACAAAGAGGTTCTACTCCGTTCTTCTTTCAAATAGAAAAAAAAAATTTTTAATTGAGGACAATTTCTAATAAACACAAAAATGCAACTTTCAAGACAGCTTTCGTATTAATCTACAATTCTTTGCTTCAAGAACTCTGTTGATCGCTGCCTGGAGACTCCGGTACAAGCTGGGAGAGCGAAGCAGAAAAAGCCCAGCTGTACCTGAGAGCATCAGGCAGTAAAGCGGTGAGCAGAACCATCTCTGGCGATGTTTTGGCTGAGCGCAAGTCAGACAGATTCTGATGAGTCTCTGGAGTCCTGACACAAGCATGACTCAAAGTAACTTGGTGATATGGAGATGATCTTGTGCTACTTCCTAGGCCTCAAGAGTAAAATTTAAAAGATATTAGTGAAGAAAGGTAGCAAATTTCCTGCCTCCTTTTATTTTGTATAAAAGCTACTTTAGTCCTAGGAAAGAAGTAGATAAGGAAAGAGACACACATGTAGGTTTCCAACACGACATCGGAAAAAGAAAAAAAAAACAAAACTGGTAAAACCCCCTGTTTACAGCAAGCATACAGTAGGGATTGTAAATGACATCGGAAAAAGAAAAAAAAAAACAAAACTGGTAAAACCCCGTTTACAGCAAGCATACAGTAGGGATTGTAAATCTTGACACCAGAGACTAACTTGGGGATCTATGTTTTCATCTCTTTTGTGCAAGGACAGAAAAGTACATTTTTCCCCAAAAGAGACCGATCACTGGTCTAGTATTTTGATTATATTTGTGTTTTGATTTAGTCCTTCTAAAGGAAAAGCTGCTCTTCCAGGATGATTGATAATGCTGCACTTATGTAGAATAGTGCTGTGGTACTCACTGAATATTATTCATAATAAGGGAGAGTTAAAAATGGAAGTCAGATAACACTTAAGATATTCAAATGAGAAGTTGCAGAAGGAAAAAAAAGGCAGGAATGTATCAGTTTGATTTTGCAGGCTGCCTCTCAATTCCTTGCATGTAATTTAGGAGATTTGCAAAGGAAAGCTATATAGGAAATTTTAGAGTACAGAGGTTATGAAAATTCAGGATTCTTCAGGGACAAAAGGGGAAAAGAAACAATGGCTCACACAGGAACTAGAGTGGCAAGAGGCTGTCGAGCATTCTCCAGAGAGCAATTCGAAGCACTTCGCTTCGGCAACTGCCTGGAGTAGGGAACTCCAGGCACTTCGCTCCTGGACCTCACTTAGGTGGGATGGCCATCCTCCTGCCATTAACAGAGACGCAGTTCATGTCTGAATACAAAACCTGGAGGGAAGGTTCTCTTTCTCCCTGGTTTATATGTTTTTAAAAAATCTTTTTATCTAATTTGAAAGAGAAATAAAACAGGAAGACAGGAAATACGATTTGAGAAATACAATTTAGGCTATGAATTTTCACCAGGAAAACTGTAGTGCTAGGATTAAGTGGGATGTGGTGCTAAGAGATAACATGCTGTGAATGGGACTATGGAACGGAAACTTAAAGGTAGAAATTTTTCTAAGGGACAGTGGGAAAATATGGCTGTCATGGATGTGTGAGGAGCAGAACAAGTGTTTGGGGATTCCTTTCAGAGCGGGAGATCAGAAAGGTAAGCCAAGGATGACATTGCTTCCGGAGACTTAAAACCACTGCAAGCACCACCCTGTCCCACTGGAACAAAGCCCACACTACAGCATAGTTCTGCTAGCCACGAGAAATGAGGAGAGATTTAGATTCGCTAGGAGATGTAAAAACCTGTATTAATTAACAGAGCAGTCTAGGGTTTCCAGGCTAAAGCTTTATTAGCAGGAACACTGTAAAGAACATACCAACATCTTTTGGAACCAAGTTTAAAGATATAGAAGGATTTCAGGTGTTGACTTCAGTAACAGAGTATGTTTCTCTAGAACGTGTTTAACCATACCTAAAGGTATACACGTGATACCCGATATACTTAATAGCTGCAAATTCCAGATTTAAGATTTTGAAAGAATTGTATTGCTTTCTCTAGCATAACTTAAATACCTAGATGTCATGTTCATTTTTTCAATTCACATCTCACTTATTGAACTTTATTACTACGTTTTTTTCCTGCAGAAACACACTGCGAGAGAACTACTGCCATTTGACCCCCAAGCAAAATGCTCTGAATCCCCAAAGAAACACAATCAACTCTTAACTACAGATCATCCGCTGTCATGGCGAGAAACCAGTTCCAACATCACGAGTCCTTCTATAGCTGTTATATTTCGGCTTGCGTTTACTGACAAAACATACCCCTACAGCGTAGCAATACTTGTGCTTCTGCTGCTAATAGCACTTTCCTTGTATTTTCTTTGATGTCACTGCTCCAATGCCTCTAGCACAAGTGTGTGCCCAGCACATGCATTTTCTTCTCAGAGTTTCTTCATTGAAGATTTCAGTGTCAGTGGCTTGAAAAAGATTTTTTAAAATACTGTCAATATGTATCTTTTACATGGAAGTTCTCTTAAACTTTCCAAATCTGCAGTCAGTAGTTGTGTATGCATTAAACTATTTGCACAAGGCCAGTTTGTATTATAAATGTTGGGATTCTTGTTTTTTTTTTTGTTTTTTGTTTTGGAACTGGACCTTAGCTACATTAAAAAAGGTTCATGAAATACAATGGGGTGTGATATTTAATTACCCTGATACACTAGTATGTTGATATCTTTATACTGTTTCAGCAAATGTTTAGTTAAATATTGCTGCATTAAGTGCATGGGAATTTAAAGTTTTCCTTTCTGTATTCCAGTGTGTAAAGGGAAGACAGTAGCCACATATTCTGTTTTATGACTGACTTTGTTACAGTTCTTGCCTTTGTCTAAGCTACCACATGCTATTCAATTCAATCGGTAATTTTCTTTAGATTCCCTTACCTTGTTACAATATGGACATTCACCAAAGATGACATTAAAGCTCTGTCTGCTAGAAGGAAGTCCTTGTAGCCACTGCAACATAAGCAAGTGGATTAAAATTCACATTTGTTTCCTATCAAATCTAAGAACTCTTGAAAAGATTTTAATCCATCTGAAATTTAAGCAGGCAATGCTTATTTTCTAGAATCTGCGAGTTAACGAGCAAAGCATTCTCATTAATTACTTTACCTCATACAGGCAAGCCTGGTGAAAAGGTTGCCCGCATCGGGGATCATCACACACTTGGTCGGGAGTGGCGCCATGGAGTCGATAGGCATAGCAGATCCCACAGTCCTTGGCAAAATCCTTGGAACACAACATGTTTTATCAGATAGAACAACTGAAAGGAAAAAACAAGGCTGGTAACATGGAAGACACGTTCATCTATTTGTCCTTGCTCTTCCATTTTTTCTTAGAGTAACTAAACCTTTTTGCCTTCAGTATGTATGTTTGCACTGTTCTAGCATAAAGAGTGACATTAGCTGTCTGACTTACAAGACTTTACTAGGGTCTATTTTCTCCTCTCGCTGAATTACATCTAGTTTGATGAGCATTTTTATACTCTCAGGCCCTATTGTTTCTTTTTATTAAATACAATGATTCGTCACTGCATTTGGACATTAGACAAGGACTTCAGCCCGATATTAATTTAAAAATTTCACAAATGCAAGCAAAGCTAGTTATCCAGTGTTAGGGCATTGTCAAAAATTAATTCCACGTTTGCCTGCAATGCCCCAGTATTTGGATGGCCTCTTGTCCCCTCTAAGCAGCTCTACCTAATTAGAACTTAAGTCATCAACATCCATAACAGAATGTTTGGATTTTCCACGTCTCATTAGCTACTCTGGAACTTCCTCTTTCCCTTTTAATAGTGGAGCCTGTTATTAATCGCCTTACTGCTATGTAGGCCACAGGAAAGTGTGCACCTCTAATCAAAGGTTAACAAGCTCTGACAATCGTTGCTTGAAGTTCAGAAGTCCTTATGACAATATGTTAATCCAATTACCTCTCTTCTAAGTCTCTTATTTTTGCTGGCAGTTATAAAGTGACCATTTAAATTTTACTTACTCCAAAATAACGACTGATGGTCAACAAAAAGCAACTTACACTTTTTTCCAGCACAGCACGTGATGGAAAATCAATGTCTAAGAGATCTTTCAGGTTTTGCAGTAAACCGATTTCTGGATCCCTGCAGGTGGGAGAGAGGGAGACAAAAGTCCACAGGGGGAATGGCAAATATCCTTTCAGTTTCAAACTTTTATTATTAAAGATACTTACCATAAGTGCATATTGTTGTTCAGCTTAATTCTCAGAGGGTTAACCACTGCAAACAATGTACATAATTAATTACAATGTCTGTAGGATCCCCTGCACTCCCCCACCCAATTTAACCTCTCAAATTTCAGCACGGAAGGGGAAGGTGTGGGTTGGTTTTTTTAAATTAATCGAGGTACCTACGTCAGTGACTACTCTTAATTCTTAGTTTGCAGAATTCATTATGCTAATATTTAAAATACCATACTGACAATCGTAGGTGCCAACTTTTTAAGTTGGTAAAAAGCTGTGAAATACAGAGTAAAAGACTTAAATATTTCCAAACACTATTGTGATATAAGTAGTGATCTTTTATGTTTTTTCTTTTGAAAAAAAATTACATTGAAATATAAACACGATTGGGTAACATCTGTAGGACACAGGGTTCCCTCTAAAAGTACTTGGAAAAAAGTGTCACTCACAGAGCAAACGAGCACGCTGTGGATTTAGGCTGTTAAAAACCCCAGCAGCCACTGTGTAAAACCCCTGCATGTGTACCAGGCTTGATTCTCAGCTCTGCTGAAGTAAAGTTTACCCCAGGCGCCTGACACAGCTCACATGGGTACCTGCTCGCTGGAGATCGGGCTCTAGAAGAGAAACAGATGGCGTCTGGCTGCTGCCTTACCGTGATCTGCTCCAAGAAAATAACACTCAGGGAGCATGTTTGGATGCCGAGGGTCTACCTCGATGTTCACGGAGACGTTGTTCCCTACAGTGAGAAAGCAAGTAAGTCCTAGGGGAAGCTTTTCTTTGCAGTCCAGTATTCGAAAAAGGAAACGTGAACCTTTTTTTAAAAGCAGTTTTAAAGTGGTTAATTCAGGCTGTTTTTCATTATGATAAATAATAAAAAACGTTGGTAGGTACCCAAATTAATTGTGTAACATCAGTATATATTAAATATTTAAATTTCAGTGGAATGTAATTAGAAGGAGCAACTGATTAAAAAAACCTGCCAGCCTTGCATTCCTTTTAGACTAGTCTTAGCCTTAGCACTTAGACTTTATTTCTGAATAATCAAACTCAAGCTGGATAATAAATCCATTTGAAATCTTAGTGAAATTTTAAAGGTAGTAGGGATGTATTTGTTATTAATTACTTATTATATTCTACTGTCAAATAGAAGCATATTAAGCTGTACAAGTCAGTCCCTGCCACCACATACAGCTGGAGTGAGCAAACAATAGCTTATTTTTAAAAGAGCAAATATTTTTCTTTTACAAGATATCCCATCATCCTCATCAGGGCTGCTACTCTTACAGGGTAAGTAGCTCAGAAACATTCGGGATCCAGGTTCAAAACCTTGCAGTGAATTCTCTTCTAAATAAAAGCAGGTGAAACTCAACATTTTTTGTAATTAAGAGGTATGTTAGGCTTGCCCTCCTTGAAGAAGCTGGCATGAATGAAATCAAAGTTTAGCCCTAACTGAAGATTGTCTGCGACCGACAACAAAGGGCTCAAAGCCTGATGCTGCCCTCCGCTGATCTGCTGCGAGGCGCTTTTTGAGGCTTTTCTTTCCTTTTCGCTGGTCTGTGTCAAAGTCCAGCATAACCGAGATAAAGCTCCCCTGACTGCACGCACACGTGCACACCCCCCCCAAAGGAGCGTTGTCCGACCCATGTCATTTCATTTTAGTCAGCTGCTGAACTTTTTCTGTCGCTCCCTCCCTCCACCCCCAGAGAAGGAGCAGCCTCAGCACCCCACCAGCTCTTTGCCCTCCTCCTCCGTGGTCAGGCAAGCAGCCTTTGCACAGGTGTTGGGGACAACCTAGGTCTGCTTTGGTCCGTTGTATGTGCTATTGATATTTTGGATTTAAGCTGAAAAAAAAGAACTCTTCTTTCAAAGACACCATTTCCCCCCCAAGTTTCTAACCTCTGACAGTGGCAAGTTTCGCCTTTGCAATTACAAGACTCCTCATCCTATATATATATATATAGAGAGAGACCTTTAAATACCAGACAGCAGCATATGAATTAAGGTATTTTTTCAGATGGCTTAACAGGTAAGTCTCTAATTTTCTACTTGCCTCTTTTAACCCCCTTTTGATGGCACTCTAAGATACCTTTCACTCTTCCAGGACAGGAGCAATCTAAAGTCATAGTCTCTTAAAAAATCTGGAAATTTGTGGATTAGGGCTTTATTTAACTAAGATGAATTATTAGAAAAAACTTTTTTCCTGTGAGGGTGACAGAGCCCTGGCACAGGCTGCCCAGGGAGGTTGTGGAGTCTCCTTCTTTGGAGATATTCAAAACCCATCTGGACGCGTTCCTGTGTGACCTACTGTAGGTGATCCTGCTCTGGCAGGGGGGCTGGACTAGATGATCTTTTGAGGTCCCTTCCAACCCCGAACATTCTGTGATTCTACAGTTATCCTGCAAGCCTTCAGTTTTCGGCAGTTATATGTTCATAAATTACAAACACACAGGATTTTCCTGCAGAAACTTCCATTTTGTGTAGCAACATGAAGTTGCGATTTATGTTCTCAACAGGTGCAGCATTCTGGGGAAGGTTATTTTTTTAATACACAAAATAAGACAGTGGTGTCTTGCTGGTTTTAAGCACTACCTTTCATCTTCCTAACTCGAACAAGCACCATCTGATTAGATAAGCAAAGCAAAACAGCACCCCGAGGTTTAACTTCTCAAATCCATTGTATCCCTTTGAATCTTTTCCCACCTATCGCAATTCTTCTTGTCGTAGCACTCCGTGTGGGATTTTCTGGCTCGAGCACCCATGTCTTCCCATCGACTTCATCCATGATATCCCAGAACTCTTTCAGCGATTCCAGTGCAACCAGGAACTGATTATAAATGTCTATTAAGGAGTTCTACAAAAAGAAACGACTCAAGTAAATTTCCACCTACAGCCAAATAGAAAATTTCAAAGCTAAATTCTAGGTAATTCAAGAAATGTTAAAATCTAGTATGTGTCCAATTGTATCCTGGTAGCATAAAACATTGAAAAGCACAGGATTTTTAACTGAAACAGCACTAGTAAAGAGCAGCTGTATCCTGAATAAAAATCAGTTCTCTAAGCCTCGTAGTTCTACCATGTTGTGATATATGTACATCATACTCGGATCTGATAGTGTTT